GGAAGTTAAAATGGTGTGCCTTTAGGACCAAATCCCACAACTGGAGAGTAACTAATTTAAAAATGTGAATTTTTGAAGTCGAGATTTGAATTAATGGTGTGTGACCGTATGTAGTAACCTAATTAGGAGGAAGACAAGTGAGAGTGTATCATTTGCACAATTATTTAAAAGAAATTTAATTGTATTTCTTTTAAGCACATGTAGTAACTAAAATTCTTATTTATTCATCTTCTCTCCACGTCATACAAATTGTTGGTTAAGCACCTCTTGGAAGTCTTTAAGGGATCTGCGTTAATGAACACTGAAGTATGATTTGTGTTGGTCATATCCATGATCGATATATAATGGTGGCTGATATCCTTGGGGTTGTCTGAAAATTGTTTGCCTCTTCATCAATTCACTATGTGACTATTAGATGCTGAGCAAAATTTAAATATTCTTGATTCTATCATAAGTAATCATCACCACCATCACCACCATTGTCACTACCAACCCCACCACCATCACTTCACCACCACCACCACCATTGTCACCACCACCACCACCATTATCACTACAATCACCACCATCACTTCACCACCACCACCACCATTATTACTACCATCACCACCATCACCACCACCACCACCATCATTATTACTATCATCACCATCACCACCACCATTATTACTACCATCACCACCATTATTACTACCATMACCACCATCACTTCACCACCACCACCACCATTATTATTACCACCACCACCATCATTATTACTATCATCACCATCACCAACACCACCACCACCACCACCACCACCACCACTATTACTACCATCACCACCATCACTTCACCACCACCACCACCACCATTATTACTACCATCACACCATCACTTCACCACCACCACCACCATCATTATTACTACCATCACCATCACCATCACCACCACCACCACCACCATTATTACTACCATCACCAGCATCACTTCACCACCACCACCACCATCATTATTACTACCATCACCACCACCACCACCACCACCACCACCACCACCACCCCAACCCCATTATCATAGACACCGCAGCTAACCACCAGTGCTTAGTACACGCCAAACCTAATGCCATTTAATTGTCACCACAACCTTATGAAAAGTTCATTCCTATTTTACAGATAAGGAAACCGAGGCTCAGGAATGTCAGATGACTCGTCCAAGGTCGCATCTTCATTTTACTTAAAGGAAATCTTTCTTGCCATTAAGAGATATAGAGATAGAAAATTTTGATCCCGTTCTGATCTTGATCTAACAAAAATACTAAGTCATTTGAGTCTTAATTAATTAGTTTTCACTCGATTTTATCTCAGTCAGTTTCTTTTGAGAAGGAAGATCTCCTTCAGAAGCTTTTGTTAGACCTGTGGAGGTAGAGAAGAGGTACCTAAGGTAAAAGGTGGAGAGTGTTTATTCTCATAGCTCACTGAAAAATTAGTCTCTTAGAATGAGGCAACTTTTTTGTTTTTAATTATATTGAAGTACAGTTGATTTACAATGTTGTGTTAATTACTCCTGTACAGCAAAGTGACTCGGTTATTCATATACATATATTCTTTTTCATATTCTTTCCATTATGGTTTATCCCAGGATATTGAATATAGCTCCCTGAGCTATACAGTAGGACCTCATTGCTTAAGAATGAGTCAACTTTAAAACTCAGGTCTTGATTACTTACTAGAAAATTCTAGATTTGCATAGGACTATGCCTTCATTCCTTAGAATATCATTGTGAGATAGCTGTATGTCCTTCCTAGAAATAAACACCATTCTCTATTTACAGCACCTGAAGGTTTATTCAGTGACCATAGTCCACACAAGCCACTTTTTGGTTTGCTGGCCCAACTCACAAGTTATAATTCTTTCTGTCAATATTGCATCTAGATCCTCACAGGTTCCCATGGCAGCCATAATTTTACTATGTGATCCCTACCTCCCATGCCCATGACTGACTGGACCAGGTGCCAGACACCTGATGCAAGTTGGGCCAATCAGTGTCTTTCTTCTAGAAACTTGGGATTGGAGTATGGCTGAACCTGTAAAACACATAATTGGAAGCTGTGGGGTAGCCATGTACCTCCATGTGGATGAAGAAACAAAAGAAAGAAGAATAAGGCAAAAGCTGAGAGAAAGGCAGAAAAACTTCAGTTCTGACACTTTCGGTTCCTCGTTCTAGTTCATTCTTGATGCCTGACTGTGTTCTTGTGCATGACTTGTGTGATGCACCCTGATGTCCTTTCATAAACCCCCTTTCTTCTGCTTGTGTTAGCTTTAGCTGGTTTCTGTTGCAACCAAAAAACTTGAATATGGGAGGTCATGTGTCTGTTTTACAAAAGAGTAAACAGGGGCTTAAATGGCTGGGATGTGCCTCCTACTGGGTCTTCAATTCAGGACTTATGACTCTAAATCTCGGGGTTTCTGATTCTAAGTTCCATGCTCTTTTCACTACCTGGCCTCACCTACAACCCCTCCGCTCATCATCCAACTGTCCCGAGAGAAAACAATTATTTCTTCTCACTGTTATAGACACTAGACATCTCTGATGATTTGCCTACAGTTGCATGGCAATCCAACTGAGTGGCAGGTCTTCTGAGTCCTGTCTTCCCAGGCCTTTTCCAAAAAGCCCCTTTCTGCCTGAACATGCCTCACAGTCTATTTCAAAGGCAAACCTTTCAGCTGGCAAATGGTAACAGCTGCCTCTCTTCAAAACACCCAAAGGGTAAAACTTCTGAGCTCCAATACACAGGCTCGAGGCTCCAGCCCAGTCTGGATGGGGCTTAGCGTCAGTTCCTACAGAAAAGGGAACAGGTACTGTGCATGGATGTGAGGCCAGGCCCAAACCCATTTTAGGGCTGGATGCCGCTTCTCCACCACAGTAGACTGCTGTTTTGGAAGGCCTTGTGTGTGTGTGAGAAAGATACTTGAACTGAACTTCACTGGGAGAGGATGTGGTGAGAGAGGTGGGGAGAAGAGAGAAAAGAGGAGACATCTTGAGTGAGTGTATGTGAGGTGGAAGGAAAAAAGGCACAGATATGAATCTACTATGATACAAAGGGAAATAAAAGCCTTCTAACACCAATCAATCAGAAATTTAAGGGTACCGTACTGGAGACATTACATGGACTCAGCACAGAGGAAAAGCCCCAAATGAGCCGGACCTGCTCTCTCTCCTCAAAAAGATTATGCCCTATATTGGGGTTGGCAGGTTAGTTGCCTTTATTATTTCCAGAAATATTTAGTAAGCACCTCCATGGACCAGGAACCACTCAGTAATGGGAATGCAACAGCGAAAAAAGACAGACTAGTGTTTTCTTATCATTGAGGAGGTGAGTCGAGGATGCAGGGTAAGTTCAATGAGGTGAACAGGAAGGTCTGCCTGAAGAGATGACATCTGAGCCAAACTTGCAAAAATATGAGAGAAAATCTTTCAGAAAAAAGTGGGCACAGCACGTGTAAAGGTTTGAGATGAGAATATTCTCGGTGTGTTTGAGGAACAGAAAGGCCAATGTGGCTGGAGTGGAGTGAGTGAGAAATAAGTGGTGAGGAAATGAGATTGTAAAGGAGGGTAAGGTCTAGCTCTTGTGTGACCTGGCAGGCTACGGTAGGAAATTTGGATTTTATGCTGATTGCAGTAGGATGATTTTGGTACGTTTTCCTTCATTTTCCAGCTTTAATTAACCAGTAGTGATGGCTTAGGTCACTGTGATGAGAAAGATTCTGAGGTCTTACCGATCAATGGGTAAGGGTTCAGTGATGGGTTGGTAGTATTTATCACATCTCCAGGATGGGGCAATGGTTATGCTAATGATCAATATTTGCCATCTCTCATGAGGATGGAATATTAAGTTTATTAGGACAGTCTGGGTTACACTGCAGTAACAGCATCACCAAAATGTCAATGGCTTAAATTTTTAAGAAACTTCTCACAAAGTTAGTACAAAACATAATTTTGAAATCCTTGAACTAGAGTAAGCAAGGTTGTCTAGACAACCTACAGACTGGGAGAAAATATTTGCAAATGATGTGATTGACAAAGGGTTAATTTCCAAAATACACAAACAGCTCATACAACTCAATAACAAAACAAAACAAAACAAAAAACCTAATCCAAAAATGGGCAAAAGACCTAAATAGATATTTCTCCAAAGAAGACATACAGATGGCCAAGAGGCACATGGAAAGATGCTCGACATGGCTAATTATTAGAGAAATGCAAATCAAAACTACAATGAGATATCACCTCATGCCAGTCAGAATGGCCATCATTAAAAAGTCTACAAATGACCAGTTCTGGAGAGGGTGTGGAGAAAGGGGAACCTTCCTACACTGTTGGTGAGAATGTAAATTGGTGCAGCCACTATGGAGAACAGTATGGAGGTTCCTTAAAAAGTAAAAATAGAGGTGCCGTGTGATCCAGCAATCCCATCCTGGGCGTATATCTGGAGAAAACCATAATTCAAACAGGTACATGCACCCCAATGTTCATAGCAGTACTATTTGCAATAGCCAAAATATGGAAGCATCCTAAATGTCCATCAACAGATGAACGGATAAAGAAGATGTGGCACATATATACAATGGAATACTACTCAGCCATAAGAAAGAATGAAATAATGCCATCTGCAGCAACATGAATGGACCTAGTGATTATCATACTAAGTGAAGTAAGTTAGAAAGGGAAACACAAACACCATATGATATGACTTATATGTGGAATCTAAAATGTGACACAAATGAACTTGTTTACAAAACAGAAAGAGACTCACAGACATAGAAGACAAATTTATGGTTACCAAAGGAGAAAGGGGGTGAGGGAGGGGTAAATTAAGAGTTTGGGATTAGCAGATACAAACTACTATATATAAAATAGGTAAACAACTAGGTCCTATTGTATAGCACAGGGAACTATATTCAATACCCTGTAATAAACCATAATGGAAAAGAATATGAAAAAGAATCTATATATGTATAACTGAATTACTTTGCTGTACACCAGAAACTAACATAACATTGTAAATCAACTATACTTCAATAAAAAAAGAAATAGAGTGTGCAAATATTAATATTGACCAAATAAATAAGGTCTTATTTTCAACACATTGTTACAAATCCCAATAGAGTACAGTCTCTCTCTTTGTATATCTTTGTATTGAAAGAGGGCTGGAAGCATATGGGGTGAGATTATTGGTGATTTTTTTCCGAACAAGGCAATGAAGATTTAATGGAATTTTTATGCACAAAAGGAAGGTGGAAATCTTTAAAAAAAACTTTTAATTATAGAAAATTTCAATCATAAATATAAATAAACAGATAGTGAGAAAAGTATAATGAATTCCCATGTACACATCACCCAGCGTCAACAATTATCAAGTCATGGTCTATTTTATCTGTCTGCACCTCCTACTTCCTTCCTCAGCTCTGGATTATCTTGAAACAAATCCCAGACATCATGGCTTTTTAATCTGTAAATATTTCAGAGTGTGTCTCTAAAAGATAAAAGCTCTTTAAAATAACATAACCACAATATTATTATTACATTATGGGTGATTTAAAATTGTCTCGACTAGACGTTTGTATGCACGTTATAAATATATATATATATAACTTTTGAATCATAAAACGATCATATTTTAAAAACATATTAAGATGCAGTAAGCATAACTGGTGTCTTCAGGTGTGTGCACAAAAGATGCACACACACATGCTGAGTGGCTTCCCCTCATCTCTAGGGAAACGCCCTGGTCCCGAGGGCAGTCTCTACCACACGCTGGTTGGAGCTGTTCTGCCTGCAGTAGAACTGGAAGGGAAATCCTGCCCATCTTCATCCCAGTCTGTGAGAAATGGGGCTGAGGGTGATCTGGTCCGATCTTACAAGTGCTGTAAGTGGTCCGGACAGGCGGTCTCTGGAAAGGGATGCGCAGGAGGCTGTCAAACCTGAGAAGCAGGAGGCAGGACCACCAGGTGACATCCTGAGAGAAGGTCCAGTCAGCCTCTCTTCTGCCAGCCAGCTGATGCCCCAGCATCTGTCATCTAAACTTGTAAAGCCTTATCAGTCACTCTTGTTGCTGGGTCAATGAATTGAGAAGATCATTCTTCCCCAGCAAGTTTGGCTCAGGTGGATGTGGACGAGGAAAATTCTCAGGAAAAACCAGAGGGAAAACCCAGAAAGAGGCTGTACCTAAGACCTCGTTGGCTTTTGTTCCAATTGTACCAAATCTGGCTTCTCAGTAGCAACCACTGCCCCTTTCCCAGGCCAGATGGGGCCATGCCAGTGATAGTTGGCACTGGCAAGACATGGCCTGCTCTTATTCAAGAGTGGAAAACTTTCTTTATTCCGGCCTAGTCTTGTGGAGGAGGGGAACCCCCAGAACAGGGGGTCATGTATCTCCACCAACAAATCAACCAACAGTGGCATATGCATTGCCTCATCTCATGGAGAAATTGCCCCATGTCCCATGACCGGAGCTTGCTCCCCTCTACGTTGTATTCATGGTGCCCCTGTGCTAGGCAGAGGTGGGTGACATCTGTGGGATGCACGGGAATGATGGGCATTCTATCGATTTCTCAGATACGTCTCATCTTTCTCACTCCCCGCTCTTTCTATCTTCTTTTAACTTCTGTTTTCCCCCTGACTTGTCTCCCTTTCACTTTCCCCCTTTCCTCCTCACATCCTCATTGTTCATCATCTCCCCAGTTTCCCTTCATTCCTACCTCTCGCTGGCTTCCCCTCCCACCAACCACATTTATGCCTTTTCTTGAAACTTCAGTCTCGCTCCCACCACCTTGGTCTGCCCATCTGCCACCTTGTCAGCCGGGTTTTGTCCCTTTCTCTTTCCCCACCCACAGAGTGTTGGCCCCTGGCGGCCTGGTTTAGGTCTTTCATGTGTTTCCATTCTCATCACACGCAATCTGGAAACTAACCTTCAGAGCAGAGGATGGCTCTAGGGCACAGCCTGTTTTACGCTTCCCTCTTCCCTCAGGAAGCCAGGACAGGCTTCTCTGGTCCTTTGCTGGGGAGAAAGACAGAATGACCGGAAGTTAGCTCATGGGATAAACACGGAGGGCACAGAATATACTACACAGTCCCCATGTCCACGGGGAGAGAGATGGAAGACAAAGTCCCAGTTTTGTATAGAGCAGTCACTGGGAGAAGGGTGATTTCAGGATGTCTCAGTGACTTCCGTGCTGTAGGAATGGCTATTGCCACTTAGTGATAGAGAACCTGAGGATCAGGGAGGTTAAGTGTGGCCTGCCCATAGTCACACAGCAGTGGAGCCACTGACGGAACCTTGTCTGATGCCAAAGCCCTTGTTCTTTCTACTGCAATGAGGGCCTCTGTGGACTGAGGAAACTGGGTTACTGGCCTGCCTTTTCCTGTCTTAACCATTTGAGAAAGTCACTTACCACCCAACACCTCAGCATTTGTTTCTCTCTTTCCTGCCCTTTACTCATTTGCGTCTCATTTCCTCTAGAAAAGTTTATGGTCTTCACCTTCTCTCCCATGCCTTTCTCCACCCACGACTCAGTGATGTCACCAGTACTTTGGGCAGTCTGCAAAACCTCCCTGCTACATGGAGTTTCAGAATTCTAGCTGATTGGAGTCAGAATCAAAGTTTCCCTTCCCTGTGGGATGCTTATAGAAACCTGTGCTCAGGATTTCAGCGTCTGCCTCAAGTTAAAAGGACACCTAGGATCAGGCTAATACATGCAAGTCGGATGGAGCTCAGAAGTATCAAGCTCTCCCCAACATTCCCAGGGACGCTTCCCCCGCCAACAAACTAGCTGATGGCACAAGCATGTAGTTCTGCCTACAGCGCTCCATTCAGATCTGTTCTGCTTTTATTGACAAGGTAGTGCCTCTGCAACCCTGAAAATAATTTTGGTAAAAAGAAAAAAAGATTCTAAATCCCAATCTTTTTGTTATTAAAAGTTATTTTTGATATTTCTTTTTAGTTTTTGTTTGTTTGTTTTTGCAGTACGCGGGCCTCTCACTGTTGTGGCCTCTCCTGTTGCAGAACACAGACTCCAGACGCGCAGGCTCAGCGGCCATGGCTCACGGGCCCAGCCGCTCCGCGGCATGTGGGATCTTCCCAGACCGGGGCACGAACCCGTGTCCCCTGCATCAGCAGGCGGACTCCCAAACACTGCGCCACCAGGGAAGCCTCCTTTTAGTTTTTGATCACACGTGCTCAGACTTTCTTTTTCCTACACTGTTTGCCATCACGGTGTACACACCATTTTCTCTTCTTCTTTGTTCCTTTAGCACTGAATTCTCTAGTGCTCATTTTTCAATGAGAGTTCCAGAATTACTCTTTTAAAATTATATCTAGCATTCCATTGATTGGATGTAGCATAATTTATTAAACTATTTCCTTGCTGATGTCCATGTAAGTTGCTTTGTCTGGTCACAATTATATCAAACATTCTAAGGAAATTCTTATACATGCTGTTTTTTGCTTCCATCAAATTTTTCCTCAGAAAATTTATCAGGAATGGGAATTGGTACTTGCTAGCTGTGTGATCTTGGACAAACTACTTCATCTCTCTAAGCCCCAATTTCCTCAAATGTAAAACAAAGCTAATATAATGCTTAATCCATAGGGCTGTGGTGAGGACTGAATAAAATAATGGAATAAAATAAAATAACATACATTCCATATATCTTAGCTGGTACTAGCACTACTGCTGCTGTAACTGCTGCTACTACTAACACTATTTTTTCTGTACCTTTAGACTCAGCTGACTCAACATCATGTGGTTGAAACCCAGAATATTTTCTTAGAGGAAAACACAGCCTGGTTTGCAATCATCGAACAGGTCAAATTATTTTAGAACTTCTTATTTCATACACACCTCTCAGCACTGCCACCTGTTCCTTACACACATCTCCTGTCTGTCCTGAGTCTGAGACTTTAGTCAAATCTCTGTCCTTACTTGATTTTTTTCTTAACATCTTTATTGGAGTGTAATTGCTTTACAATGGTGTGTTAGTTTCTGCTGTATAACAAAGTGAATCAGCTATACATATACATATATCCCCATATCCCCTCCCTCTTGCGTCTCCCTCCCACCCTCCCTATCCCACCCCTCTAGGTGGTCACAAAGCACCAAGCCGATCTCCCTGTGCTATGCGGCTGCTTCCCACTAGCTATCTATTTTACATTTGGTAGTGTATATATGTCCATGTCACTCTCTCACTTCGTCCCAGCTTACCCTTCCCCCTCCCTGTGTCCTCAAGTCCATTCTCTATGTCTGTGTCTTTATTCCTGTCCTGCCCCTAGGTTCTTCATAACCATTTTTTTTGTTAGATTCCATATATATGTGTTAGCATATGGTATTTGTTTTTCTCTTTCTGACTTACTTCACTCTGTATGGCAGTCGAGGTCCATCCACCTCACTACAAATAACTCAGTTTCATTTATTTTTAGGGCCAAGTAATATCACATAGTATATATGTGCCACATCTTCTTTAACCATTCATCTGTCGATGGACACTTAGGTTGCTTCCATATCTTGGCTATTGTAAATAGTGCTGCATTGAACATTGTGGTACATGACTCTTTTTGAATTACGGTCTTCTCAGGGTATATGCCCAGTAGTGGGATTGCTGGGTCGTATGGTAGTTCTATTTTTAGTCTTTTAAGGAACCTCCATACTGTTCTCCACAGTGGCTATATCAATTTACATTCCCACCAAAGTGCAACAGGGTTCCCTTTTCTCCACACCCTCGCCATCCTTTATTGTTTGTAGGCTCTTTAAAGACCTTTGTGAGACCTTGGCCCTCTTAACTTTGGAAAACATACTCCAGATCACAACAGGCATAATAAAACATTCCTGTCCCTCCATATCCTGCAGGAAATATAACATAGGAGCAGTAGACTAGTAGATGTAATGTGAGGTTTTGTATTAAATGAAATACTTAACAATTTTGATTTTGTGGTTTGGGTTAAGATTTAGGGGTCTAATGAATAATGTCTTTCATATTCCTTCCTGAGTTCAGAACTAAAGAAGAAATATATTCAGGAGACAGATAGATGGAGATCAAGATAGCAGCTTTATTACTAGGAAAAGCTGAAGAAAAGAATCTGTTTTAAATATGTGGTCAGAGAGAGCTTGCTAACACTGCCCTCTGAAGCAAACTTGCAGCATACCCTCCAAAAACCTTCAGGTTTCCTCCACTTGCCACAGAGTGGATGGAAGCCCAGAACGGTCCCTCGCTGCAGGGTCTGAAAGAGGGGAAGAGGGAGGGGCTGAGTGGAGAATGTTTGGGTTTTCTCCAAACTCACTGGCCAGAAAAGACGGGGTACAGGATGATCAGAGAGGCCAGGAGTATTAGCTGAAATTCCTCCACATGAAAATATTGAGCCATTTGCAGCAACATGGATGGACCTAGAGATTATCACAGTAAGTGAAGTAAGTCCGACAGAGAAAGACAAGTATCATGTGATATCACTTATATGTAGAATCTACAAAAAAGCGATACAAAGGAACTTATTTACAAAACAGAAATAGACTCACAGACATAGAAAACAAACTTATGGTTACCAAAGGGGAAGCAGGGGGAGGGATAAGTTAGGAATTTGGGATTAACAGATACAAACTATGACACATAAAACAGATAAACAACAAGGACCTACTGTATAGCACAGGGAACTATTTTCAATATTTTGTAATAGCTTATAATGGAAAAGAATGTGAAAAAGGACATATATGTGTGTATATATATATATATATATATATATATATGAATCACTTTGTTGTACACCTGAAACATTGTAAATCAACTACACTTCAATTAAAAAAAAAAAAGAAAGAAACTATTGGGCCAGGGAATGACAGGTTTCTTTCTGGACCCAGTATTTGTGTCTCATTATGTCCAGCTGACCTGCTGGACATAATGAGAACAGGTTCCATCTCACCATTTGCACCTTGTTCTGTATGTCTCACATACAACCTGTGGTTATGACCACATGGTTAGACCCACTCTCTCCTGCCTTCTCCCCTGACCTTCCCCTTAGCCCCTGGCCTAGTGTGCGCACCCCTGACATGGGGATGCAGCTCTGACATTCATGGCTCTTGATTCATGTTTCACTTTGCTTTCCTGTCGATGTGTAATTCTGTCCACCATAGAATAAGATTAGGTCAGAAGCAAAAACAACAAACAAACAAAAACAGAAAACCAAAAAGAAACAAATAAGCAAAACAAAACAATCCCAGTTCAAACTGGCCCAATTTACATTTGGGAAGCTTATTATTTTGCATTACAACAAGGGAAAATGCTAATGTGGTATTAACAATGACTCAGTGATATAGAAACAAGTTTCCTTCTGCTCTGTCATCCCAGAATTTAGGCTTCATCCTAAAATTGGTCCCACCTGTGTTCCTAAGATCGATGCTGAAATTCCAGGCATCCCGTCCAGGAACCACCGCATTGAGAAAAAGAGAAGAGACCAAGCTGTCCCTGCTTTATTATTTTAGATGAGAAGTCTTTCCTAAAATCTCCCTCACACTGTATTGGCCACTGTGAAACCAATCTCTACGCAAGAGGCTAGAACCACCATTACTGTTTTAGACCTACTCATGGACTTATGACCGGATAAGGTGGATACCCCAACAAAATCGGGCTCTGACAAAAGGAAAAGGAGAGAACGGATGTTGGGTAGGCGGCCAGACGTGTGTGTTGTGCATCACTAGACATTTGTTTCAGTGGTTATGATTTTAAAGAACTAGTTTCCTTCTATTTCTCTGTTCTCATGTCTGAACCTCAATTTCCTCATCTGTCCTCTGCACCTTGCAAGGCTGCTGTGATGATCAAGTGAGATATCGTGTAAACTACAAAGTGCTGTGCAAACCTTGCTTCTGATGAGCATGGTGATCGTGAATGTGAGCTTTTCCACCACCACTGAGATGCAACTCATCTCAGTCTTGAGCAGTTGTTTGCCAAGTTGGGGTAGTCCTTATAAGACTGAGAAGTGGAGACATCTCACCATTGGGAAGAACGTTCCTCTTCGACCTCCAAATAGAATGAAAAAATGGAAATAAAAAGCTAAAGCAGATTAAACAACAAACACATGAAAAGATGCTCCATGTCACTAACCACTAGGGAAATGCAAATCAAAATCACAGTGAGACGTCACCTTAAACCCACTAGGATGGCTACTACAACAAGTGCTGGCAAGGGTGTGGGGACTTTGCAACCCTCACACACTGTTGGTAGGAAGGTAAAATGATGCAGTCACGATGGAAAACGGTATGGTGATTCCTCAAAAAACTCAAAATAGAATTACCATATGACCTAGCCATTCCACTCCTGGTTGTATAAGTAAAAGACTTGAAAGCAAGATCTTGAAGAAATATTTGCATACCCATGTTCATAGCAGCGCCATTCACAATAGCTAAAAGGTGGAAGCAACGCAAGTGTCCAATGGATGAATGGATAAGCAAAATGTGGTAGATGCATACAATGAAACATTTTTCCACCTTAAAAAGAAGGGAAGCTGTCACGTGCTGTGACATGAATGAACTCTGAAACCATTAAGCTGAGTGAAATAAGCCAATCATGGAAAGACAAATACTGTATGCTTCCACTTACGTGAGGCACCTAGAGTCGTCAAACTCATAGAGGTAGAAAGTAGAATGGCGGTTGCCGGGGCAAGGGGGAGAGGGGAGGGGGGAATGGGCACTTGTTGTTTAGTGGGTAAAGAGTTTAAGTTTGGCAAGATGGAAAAGTCCTGGAGATTGGCTATATAACAATGCAAAGACACTTAATGCCATTGAGCTGTCCATTTATAAAGGGTTAAGATGATAAAATTCATGTTATGCGTTTTTTACCACAGTAAAAGTTTTTCAAAATTAAAGTTTCAGAATATGCAGTGCTGGATAGTACAGAATGAAATAGGCACTCACCCCCAACCCATAAAGAGTTGATGGGACTTCAAATGGGCTTAGTTTTTGTGGATGATGGTTTGGTAACATCTGTCAAAATGAAAGGCAGAAGAGGGAGGAGGTCTATGGGACCTAAAAGAAGGGCCATTATATAATAGGCCCAAGTGGGACCCCAAGAACAGGAGTAGAGTCAGTGTCCAGAGACCGCCCAGCCTCTGCCCAGCACGTGCCGTTTGCAGCCAACATTAGGAAACTGAGCTAACCATCCCTTCTCAGTTGGGTGACCCATTCCACTGCAAAGGCCTCTACTTTCTATCCTTCTCCTGGTCATCAGGTAAAGGTTTTTTTAACCTGTCATTTGCTGATCATCTGGATAGAACTGTCAGCTACCTATGCCCCAAGATTTTGCTAAACCCTGTCTTTATAACCCGTATTAGGCAGAGTTCACTAACCAACAAACAATCTCAACACTTTAGTGTCTTAACACAATAGGACTTTATTGTGTTCTTATACGAGGTTCAATGCAGATGTTCTTGGTGGGGCAGCATTCCCGGGCAGTTCTCCTTCAAACAGTGACTCAGATATCCAGGTTTCTTGCCTCTGGTGGCTTGGCCATGCCTTAAAGCCCTCACAGAGTCTTCCACTTGGGCCTCTGCATTCAGCCAGACAGCAGAAGCTGCAGGGGTCATTTTAGGGGCCAGGCTTGAAAGTGGCAAACATCATTGCCACCCGTATTCTCTTGCCAAGAGGCAGGCAGTCCGGAGCCAGGGGAACTCCAGAAGCAGTTTGACCAGGGCTCCACGCTGTTTCTCTGTTCTTCTCTTGGTTCTCCCCTGCTCTGTGTTGACACTGCCCTCTTCATGGCCGTTCTCATGGCTACAAGATGGCTGCCAGCTGCATCCAGGGAACAGGTTGTTCATGTTGAAAGGGAGAGAGGAAAAAGAAGTTTCTCTCTCCCAGAAGCCCTGAGCAAATCTCTCCTCACATCTCACTGATGTGAAGTGGCTTAGGGCCGCCCAATCCTGAACCAATCAATGACGGGTGAACTACTATGAAGGGTATAAAGTAATTGCATAATCTACATGCCAGGTAGAGAGTCAACAATAGTGACTCCTGGCAGGTTTGGGCCAGCCTGTGGAAAATACTGAATCTCAACCTCAGGAATCTGTATATAAAGTAAAAGACATGGGGAACCATTGATTGTTCTTCCAGCAGGGGAGCAGATAGAACTAAGTTCAGGGCATAATTATCTGCATGTGTAGATCAGAAATAATCAAGCAGAGGGGAGTGGATGTGGAAGGGCCACGTGCCCGCTGCCACCATGTCTTCTTCTCCCCGCATCAATAATGGCTCCCAGAAGAAAAGCTGCATTCACATCAGGTAGACATGACTGACGAGGTATGAAGCCAGTGGGATTGGAAAGGAGATCTTTGATGGAAGAAAGAATCCGGAAAGAATTGACAAGATGACAGTAGACGGGGAAAGAAAACTTTTCAGTGATTCTGAAGTTGTCAGTTTGGACGATTCTAATGTGTAGTACCATGGATAGAAATACGGTCATCTAGGAGAATCAGTGAGGGGATTTTGAATCTGTAAATCAGATGGATGACTAATAATAATGCTAAAAATAAAATGATGCTAGTAATAAAGTAAAAATAATTAATAATAAAAATTAGCATATATTGAGCAGTTGATATGTGTCAGTATTTCCTAAGGTACTTACTTAGTATTTGCTAAGATGCTTCCTGTTGCTCTGATACATACATATGCTTTCATTTACTCCTTACAACAATCCTATTATCACCCCCATTTCGTAGAGGAAGAAACTGAGGAATATAGTGGCAAAAGTACACAATTCAAGGTCATATAACTGGTACGTGGAGAAGGTAGGATCAAGCCCAGGCTATCTGACTCAGGACCCTATTCTTTCAGTCATTATAACAATAGCTAATATTTATTAAGCACATACTATATGATAGTACTCTGCATATAGTCTCTTTAATGCTTACGAGTCAACCTATAAAATCGGTTTCATAGATGAGGAAGCTGAGGTACAGAAAGGGTAAAAGACTTGCCCAGAGCAACCCAGCTAGTAAGTGGCAGAGGTGGGATTCAAACCGCAGTAGGCATAGCCCTAAAACACATGTTCTTTCCACGATGTGATGAAAAAGACAAATGTATCCTAGGACTGCAGGATCTATACCCTTTGTCTCATCAATGATGATTTAAACTTCTAGGTTGGGGACCAAGCCTCACATATCTGGGGTACACCCTTGGTGAGTACAGGACCTGGCACATAGATGTCCAGAACCAATAGAATTGTGAAGTTTCTGGAAATCGCTGCCTACAAAGAAAAAGCTGAAACTACGGTGGAAGGATTCTGACCAATGGAGGCATGAAATTCAAGGAGGTGGAAGAGCAGGGTCAGACAGTCCTGAGTCCAACTGCATTTGCTGGGGAGGCTTGGGCAAATTGCTTAACCTCTGAGCTCCCATGTCATCACCTGTAAAATGGGGATAATAATAGCGGTACCTCACTCTGGGGAGCAATCTAACGACGACTACCCATTATAAGAGGAAGCAAGTGAACATTTGGCTCCTAGCCCTAGCAAATGCTCATTACATGGTAGCAATGTTGCTATGATTGTTGTCATTGTTATTATTTCTACAAGGGAATGTGCCAGGGAAACGGTCCATGCCTCCGGGAGAAGGATTCTGCAGCTTATATTTTATAATGTTCCTGCCCCTTTGAAGCCTCCACACAGCAGTTGCCTTGGCCTCCAAAGTTTCGCGGCAGGATCTCTTCAAACCCAAATGACAAAAGCCAGCTGCTGCTCCAGGAGCAAAGGAGGGAAGGAAGGGGGGAGGGCAGTGGTAGGAAAAGGGAGGTGGAGAAGGCCTGCCCACCCAAGGCGTCTTCCCTAGGTCCTTCCTGGATCCCACTAGCTCTGCAGTGTGGCCCCAGCAATGGCTGGCACTGGCTTCCTGCCGGGTCACGTGGCTTGTATTTCAAGATGTAACTAGCAGCTGCTGGCCGCTGGTTCTGGCTACTAATACCATGACCAAGAAGTGGTGGAGCTGTGAGGTCAGCGCTGGCACCGGAGCAGCTGCCGTCTCCCTGTCCACATGGGTGGGGAGTGAGCCAATGGGGAGGACCCAGCCCTGGGAACTATAGCACAGGGCACTGACTACCCCAGAGGGGCTTTCAGATCTTCCAGACGGAGACCCCCAGCTCGGCTCGCCTAGACCCAGACTCTGGCTTACTCACCAGGAAGAAGCAACTCCCCCTCAGCAGCATCGCTCCCAGAGTCTTCTGGAATCCTGTGAGTCTCCAGCTGCTTAGTCATAGCACTTCAGAGCTGGCAGAGCCCTTAAACCAGCCATCCCGTTTCATAGGCAAAGAAACTGAGACCCAGAGGGGTGAAGTGACTCGTCTAAGATGGCCCATGAGTCAGGGCAGGGCTGGGCACGAACACTTGCTGCAAACAGCCAGCCTGGGGCTTTTCCATTACTCAAAACTACAGGGCCTGCCCTGGCACACTTAGCTCAAAAGGGCCGGATCCTGGGATCCAGTTGGGACCTGTGACCCAAACCAAGTGCTGAACACGTTTGAAAGAGGGCTTAGGGAAAACAAATAGTGAGGAAACATGTTGGCAAAGAAAAATGTGCTCTGACAGAGATACGTGCTCACCCCTACTGTGTGAAATGAAGAAGAATCGGATTCCCCAGGCGCAGTTCATCCTATGTTCTCATTTGAATAAGGAGCACGTCGTGCACACGCATGTGGACACAGAAAAAAGACTGGAAGGAAAAGTAAACCGGACTTACTTCCGGAAGGCAGCGTTATGGATGGTTTTCATGTCTCTTGTCATCCATATTTTCTAACTTTTCTACTTTGGGGGTGTTTACTTCTGTAACAACAATATTAAAAGGATACAAAATGAATAGACAAGTGCCCGGGTCCCCGGTCACCCACGCTCAGTCAGGCTTGGCTTGTGGAAGATTCCAGAAGAGGCTGCACCCATTGCACAAGGAGGGGGCGTTTTCCTTTCTGGTGAAGCCTAAGCCAGCTCGGGCCTGAGGGCAGTGGTCACGACGCGGCTTTGCTGCAGTCTGGGGCAGCAGCTCCGGCTTAGGGCCCCCCCAGGTCCCCCGTACGCACGAGGGAGGGAGGACCAGACAGCAGACCCCAGCCTCACAGCTGGCCCTGCAGAGCACGTGCCCACGGCCCGACGTGTGGAGAATGGGCAAGAGCCAGAAAAAGGCCAGGTGGCCCTCTGGGAGGTCTCCAGTCTCAGCCACGCCGTCTGGGAAAGCTCACGGCCTAGTGCTGTCTTTCAAACACGTAGGTGGCCCTCTGGGAGCTCCCCAGTCTGAGCCACGCCCTCCGGGAAAGTTCATGGCCTAGTGTTGTCTTTCAAACACATATATCTCACTGACATTTTTTTGCCACTTGCCTGCTACGGTGCCAATGTCCTCGAGACCAAGCCACCTTTCTGGGTTAGCCCGTGAGAGCTGCCTGCCAGCTAGACTTCCCAACCTCCTTCTCGAGGATTACAGCCCAGGGAATGGTGGGTCTTGTCCCCAGGGCCACGGAGCTCAGGGACAGTTTTGTTTAGACAGAACACTGCCCCTATGCCACATACCGTCAGGACTACAGTGCCTGCCCAGTGCCCTGGCTGGGGCCCCCTGCTTCTTAGATATTAGCTAATTTATGCTTCCCCAAAGGGCCCAAATACCACAGGAAATGCCATCATACATCGAAGGGGCACCTCCATGAGGACAGCTTCTCTTGTCCCATAAAGGGTGGGTCTTACCACATCTTCACATGGTAGTGACAAATGCAGAGGCAGCCCAAACAATCAAGTCTGAGAGCACCATGGCTCTGCTCTCCTCTAGCCCATCTCCTGGGCCGGTTACCAAACATCCCAGGAGAAGTTGGAAGATCAAGTTACAGAGATTGGATCTTCATTCTGCCACCAACTGGCTGTGTGACCTGGGGAAAGTCACTTCACCTCTCTGAGCCTCACTTTTCCTCACCTATAAAACAGAAAAATGATAACAGCTGATGCTTACATTACCCCTTGCCGCGTGCCAGATGATGCTGCATGATGCCACATGTCACATCGGTCACTTATTTAGTCCTGACAGTTCTATGAGTAGGTACTATCATCACCCCATTTATGGGCAAAGAGAGCTGAGGCAGTGGGAGGGCAGGTGAGCTGCCCAGGTTCTGTAGCTGGTCAGAAGTGGGATTCAGGCAGTCTGTGTACGAGTCAAACAGGCGCATCACTTGAGTGCCTCAATAGCTACTGCGAGCCCTCAGGCTTTATAGCCAACCTGGGAGATTCAACTGAGATAGGGAATCTGAATGCTTTTCATGACAAGTTCTAAAATGACATGAACTCTTTTTATCTTGCAAGAACAGAAACGGATAATGTTTCCAAATCTCTCGCCAGTGGTGGCATTTCAGAGACTGTGGCAACACCTGAACGGAAGGAGACATTCGTGGGTAAGAGCGAGCCCTGCCTGGGTGGTTCTATTTCCTAGCTCTGCCAGGAGAAAGCAACCAGCTCTGCTCCCAAAGCCAGAGTGCTGTGTTATTGAGAGCTGTTCCCAGCTCACCCCTGACTGATAAACAGGAGTCACCTTTCTCCTCGGGTGATGGGGACGCTCCGGCACCTTTCCCGCCCTGATGTGGGTCTCCACCCAGCCACTTCTCCCTGCCCCATCTTGTGGAGGAAGGGCCCCAGCTCCTCAGCCATGAGTGCTGTGTCCCAGGCTGCCGAGGACGCACCTGTGCTGTAGAGGTCTCCCCAGCTTCCCCCGCAGCTGGCCCTCAGCCCTCCCTTCTGCCTCTCACTCCCACATCGGCACAGGGATGAGTGGCAAGGGCTGGGAAGGCTGTGTCTTGTCTTTTAGTCTAATTAATACACATGAGGGCTCTTGCTTGGCTGGGAGGGTGGGGAGCTGGCACTAAAGATGCAGCACATGTGGTAAAGGGTTAACAGCCTGAGCTCCACAGTTGAAATTCCTCCACCACTTCCTGGCTGTGGGACCTTGAGTAAGTTACTTAACCTCTCTGTGCCTGTTTTCTAATGAGCAAAATGGAGGTTGTTGTAAAGATTCAGGGACCTGCAAAGAGCCTGTGATCATGCCTGGCATATACTAAGTGCTCAACAAACACACACTATGATTATTTCTTTCCCTCTCTGCAACTGCTTCAGCTTAAGGTACCTCAAGAAGGTGACAGAAGCTTTTCCCACATGCTTTCATAATATCCTGCACCATAATGCATCCTTGATTCATCCGGTATGTGTTGAGGGCCTACTAAGTGCCAGGCACTGGTTAGATCTAGAGAATGCAAGGATCTAACACTCAGGGGGAGGGAGGAAGAAGACATATACACAGATAGTACACTGCAGCGGGGGTCGATGCTTTGAGACCCGTGGGCCCTGGGGAGGGAATCCTCCAACACTGGTGAGCCTGTGACGGTGGAGGGGGCAGGGGGCAGGGAAGACCTGCCAAAGGAGATAAGCTTGAACTGAATCCTGAGTCATGCATAGGCCTCGTAGGAGCTGGGAGAGCATTGCAGACTGTGGGAACGGTGATGAGAGGGACAGCTCAGCGCATCCTGTCCACGCAGCTGCCTTCGTGAGCCTCCGTGGAGACCCAGCTTGGTCCTGAGCTTAGGGCCCAGGCATGGTCCATGGGGAAAGTATGAAAGTTCCTCTTAGCAACTAACATCGAGATCGTGGCTGCCAGGACTGGACAGGGTTGGGGAGACAGCCAGAGCCACGGCTGGGAGGGAAGGGAGAGAAAGTGAGAGTGCTGGGGGAAGGCCAGGGCCGTTCCATCCCAAGGCTGGCTCAGAGCGGCTCCGCCCTGAAGCCTGCTTACAGCCAAGGAGACTCCACAGGAACTGAGAGCAAGAAGGGACTGAAGAGAATAAGACCAACTTTCCCAGGTCTTCTGCGAAGGGAAAAGAACCAGCGGCGTTTGACTGGGAAAAGAGGGGAACTTGTCCAGGGAGGCGCCATCCTAGAAGGCCAAGGATGGGAGCACCTTCCCGAAGCTTATGACCACAAGGAAAGCCGCCACCGTCTCCCCTGCAGGAACTGGAGGGGACCAGCGCAGTGGGGACCGATCAGCAAAGCTGGCAGATACCATGGCTGACGGCTCCGATGCCTGCGGCCCCCAGCTCGTCCGTCCTCCTTCTCCAATCCCCCTGCTTACCTGAGCCAGGCTTTCAGCTCAACCCTGCTGAATGTGGGCAGCTCATAGGCATCCACACCAGGGCAGGAGCTGGCTCTGGACAGGAGAGAAGTGCAAGCCCAGCATCTTGGTCCAGTGTTTGCCCCTAACCTGCAGTGTGGCCCTGGGCAAGTCTCCACCCTCTCTGGCCTTCTGTTTCCTTATCCTTATAATGAGACCACATACTTGCTTTCCCTTCAAGTTTGCTGGGAGGAATTAATATAATGTGTAAAAACAGTGAAATGCTTAAAATGGGAATGGTTGTGTTTTTGACGTCTTCACTGAATGCGGAGCCTCGGGGAAGGGGAATCTGTCTGGTTCCCTGTTGCAACCAACATGGAGCACACCCAGCCTGCTTGCAGGTGGGTCTGCCCGAAATGGGGGGAATCGGGGGAAGCGATTTCAGGCTTCAGCAGGTCCCCGTACCTGCTCCTGCCTTGTGATCACCTGCAACTGCTAGAGCAGTGAGAGCTGCAAAAACAAAAGCAAAACCCATGGAGGCTACAACACAGTGGCCAGGAATACAGCGCCTGCTTCCTCTACATAAACTGGCCCCTGGGTAAAGTGGGAATCGCCTTCCCTGTAGCCACTTTGCCTTCTTCCTGATGAACGCAAGTCCACTTCAACCTGACTTGGCGAAGTTTTGAGGCAAAAGCTACATTTCTCACCACCCTTGCATCTAGCGTAGCCATGGGACACAGCTGTGGCCAAAAAGATAAGCAGGTGCTGGATTGAGACTCTGGAAAACCTCCAACAGATTCATCTGGCATTTTGCCATCTGATCTTCCTCTTCTTACTACCTGGAATGCAGAATTGCGCCTAGAACTTTAAAAGCCATTTTGCAGCCATGAGGACACAATCCATATGCCAAGAATGACTGAGCAAAGGCTCTGATGGCATCTTTGAGCTGCCATAAAAGCCTGGACTGCCTGCTTCTGGAAATATAAACTTCTTAGTTGTTAAAGCCACTGTTCTTTCCCCCTCCCTGGGGAGAGGTCAAGGTGAGGGGATGGAGTCTGCTATTTGCAGACCAATACACCCTTTCCTCCAAAGACTAGGTCAGTGCCACCTTGGACGTCCTCTAAGACTCCACAAAGGTCTTATCATACTGCACTATAAGAACCAGTTACTCATATACCATCCCTACCAGACGCAAGCTCAGGGAAAGCAGGGTGCACATTCTGTGTTGATCACTGGAGCATCCCCAGGGCATGACAGTTTCTGGCAAACATTAGCTTCTCTCTATACTTTTCTTGAATCAATGAATGAAGGAACACTTTAGATTGTAATTCCAGGAGATGTAGCTAACTTGCATTAGAGCCGGGAACCATCATTTCTGGCCAGTTTTGAAACCTCTGTTGACGCATCTTTGAAAAAGTCAGTTTTAGAATGGTTTGCCTAAAATACCTAAAGCTTTGTAAATAACTCTACCAGCCTCCCATAGAACCACTGCCTTTTCCTAACCACCCACAGCCCATCATGGCTGCCCTCAACTTGCCACTACATGACCCAGAAGGCAACTCACGCAAACCCTCCGGCAGATTCTGATGCCAAGTGATTATCATAGCTGAGAAACGGCACATCCCACGATACATGGAGAGCTTGACTGAATAAACATAAATGTGTATAGGGAAACATTCACAGACATAGTTGTCAGATTGTCGTCCTATCCAAATATCTCAGTTATTTTTAGACTTGTAAAACTACTTTCTTCAAGACATCTGGAAGGTTCTAACAGTCTCCTCCTCCTCTTTCCTTTATTGTGACTTTATCCTCAAAACCTGCTGTTTTCACTGTGTCCTCAAAATATTCACACTTTTTCCGTATTCAAGTTATCCAACTTGGAGATCCAACTATATAACTTCTTCTTTTTTTGTTTTTTAATATTTATTTATTTATTTGGTTGCACCAGGTCTTAGTTGCAGCAGGTGGGCTCCTTAGTTGCGGCTCCAGGGCTCCTTAGTTGTGGCTTGTCAGCTCCTTACTTTCAGGCTCCTTAGCTGTGGCATGAAAACTCTTAGTTGCGGTATGCATGTGGGATCTAGTTCTGTGACCAGGGATCAAACCCTGGCTCCTTGCATTGGGAGCGTAGAGTCTTAATCACTGTGCCACCAGGGAAGACCCTATATAACTTCTTTATTTGCCTTCTTTTGGAAAAGCATGGGAAGTCCATATATAACTGATGGGAATGCAGAGTTCATGTGTTTCCTACAAACTTGCAGTTCATTTGTTCAAGATGTTTGATGACAGTCCCTTGAGGAAAATCACAGATGATGCAGCAGGGCTGCCTGCTAAAGCTCTCTCAGGTTCTTCTTTCTGGGTTCACACCCTCCCATGAAGTTTGGTGAGGGCCGTACATCCTGAGGTCCTTACTCTCCTTCCTTATCCACCTGCTGAATGGGGAGGACTCCAAGGACTTAGAGGAGGATGGAGCCACAAGATGGAAGGAGCTTGGGTCTCTGGAGCAGCTGCATGAAGCAGAGAGTTGCAGATCTTGCACTAGGCTGTTGCAGGAGTAAAAGAAATAAATGTTATGGTACCAACGCTTTGGAAGTGTATCTGTTACAGCAACTAGCATTATTTCAGATTACTCCTTACTTATCTATAGCCTGTTTTAGTATCTTTATTCTAAAATGCTGTCCCACTTTGCTTTGTATTAGAGCTCCATGACTATACTGAATGTGAGCCTTTAGATCATTGGTCCCCAACCTTGGCAGCTCAACAGAAGTAACTGAGGAGCTTCTGAAATCTCCCAGTGCTTAGGCCTTACCCCCAGAGGTTGTGATTCAATTGGTCAGTGGTGGGACCCAGCCTTTGCTATTTTGAAAGAGCATCCCAGGTGATACTAAGGGCAGACAGAATTAAGAGCCATTGTTCTAGAGCAAGTGTTCTCAAAATTGAGTGTGCACCAGAACACGTGAGAGACTTGTTCAAATACATATTTCTGGGCCCCACCCCCAGAGTTTCTGATTCAGTAGGGTCTGGGGTACAGCCTGGGAATTTTCATTTGTAATACATTTCCAAATGAAGCTGATACTGCTGGTTCAGGGACCACACTCTGAGAACCACTGGTCCAGACTTTTAAATCCCCCTTAATAACAACAGCAATCACTGGTGTCATCCCTAGAAAACACTAGCCACTCAACAACTGAATATATAATTGAGTTGAAATGAAGGCACATAGGCCTTTATACTTGATGACTCTTACTTTGTTTTTCAATAGATTCAGATTGAGTTTGCTTAGTTGTGCAATCCAACCAAGACACTCTGTAGGAACAGGAAGAGGGGAGAATGTTTGGGTGAGGAAGAATTTAATACTTGGGTTTGAGCTGGCATGTGGAAGCAAATATTTATTTAGTATCATGTATGGTCATGGCACTATGTTGACCTCTCTCTATTTTATCCTTTAGTGAAGGGAGATTTCCAAAAGAGAGAGGGACTTCCAGCCATCTGTGACTGAGTAGTAAAGCTCAATGAGATGGAGGCAGGAGGGTCTCCGTAGGAGGAATGACCTAAAATAATACACACACACACACACACACACACACGCATATACACACACACATTGGATTTATAGGGAAAGTGGGAGAATTGGATATGATATCTCAAAGAGGCACAAAATAAATGATGGAATGAAGTAAGGAAGTCTGAGGACCCAACCATTATCATCTTTGTGAGTCCTTTAACACTTGAAGTTCTTTTTTCTCCCAAAAAGGAGGACACACTCCCAATCAGTGTGTGCTCTAAATAGAGCACCGTTCATAGCCTACAGTCCTCTTTCATCCAGGCGGACCTCACTAATGCATAATTTTGTACTTGTGATATATATACACACACATACATATACATGTACACATTATACATACAGACATATATGATATAAATGATCACCCGGCAGGCAGTAAAGCTGGTTAAATTTAGTGGACCAGACAACTTTGCACTTAGAATTTCTAACACTGTTTATTTTACTCATTAATTCTACTACAAATTCCAATAATTATTTTTATAAAATACTATGTATCTATAAAAGGCTATTAATGAAACCCTCCTTCATATTTGAAGATACTTATTTACAAAATACAGAAATGGATTCTGGCTATTAAAGCAAAAAAAGGGAGGGAAGAGGGAGAATTTATTAAAAGGTATTGATTAGCTCAAAAAACTGCAAGGGCCAATGAACTAGGATTAGAACCTACGCATCCATGGACAACATCACAAATCGAAAAACTGCAAGGGGCAATGAACCAAGGTTAGAACCTACACATCCATGGACAACATCTGAAATCAAAAAGCTGCAAGGGACAATGAACCAGGATTAGAATCTACACAGCTTTGGACAACATCCAAAATCATGCCCAGACTGGTCACAACCAGACACCTCTACTGCCAATGCTCGGCACCACTTGTGCTGCTTCTACCTCCAATTCTGAGCATGGAACGTTGCTGCTCTCATTGAAACACTGCTGCTTTGAGGAAACAGATGAAGCTGCTCCTGCTGCCACCATCTTTGCTACAAGGATTCCTGCCTCTTTGCCTCACTAGCTCTCTCTCTGGTGGATGCCGCGTATGGGTGTGTCTGAGTGGTGGAGCCTGAGTCACATGCAAATTTCCTTGTTGCAGAGGAGTCTGGGAAGTAGTCTCTCCTTTCTACTAAGAGTCATAAGGTGGGAAATTCTCCATACATAGCAAAGAGGTTTATATCCTGGGCAGTCACACAGAATGATAGATGTCAATGTCGCTAGTTTCAGGGAATTAAACATTATATGATTTTCATTTCCTTAAAAAAAAACTTCTGTTCCTGAGATATTTCAAAGTCATACAGAAAAAAATTTTTAATAATAAATTTGCATGCTACCTCTAAAAGAAAGCATGTGTAAATACTAGCAAACAGATCCAACAACACATGAAAAGGATCATAAAACATGATCAAGTGGGGTTTATCCCAGGAATGCAAGGATTCTTCAATATATGCAAATCAACCAATGTGATAAAACATATTAACAAATTGAAGGATAAAAACCATATGATCATCTCAATAGATGCAGAAAAAGCTTTTGACAAAATTCAACACCCATTTATGATAAAAACCCTCCAGAAAGTGGCAAAAAGTAAACTTTCCTCAACATAATAAAGGCCATATATGACAGACCCACAGCCAACATCGTTCCCAATGGTAAAAAACTGAAACCATTTCCTCTAAGATCAGGAACAAGACAAGGTCGTCCACTCTCACCACTATTATTCAACATAGATTTGGAAGTTTTAGCCACAGCAATCAGAGAAGAAAAAGAAATAAGAGGAATCCAAACTGGAAAAGAAGAAATAAAGCCTGTCACTGTTTGCAGATGACATGATACTATACATAGAGAATGCTAAAGATGCTACCAGAAAACTACTAGAGCTAATCAATGAATTTGGTAAAGTAGCAGGATACAAAATTAATGCACAGAAATCTCTTGCATTCCTATACAGTAATGATGAAAAATCTGAAAGAGAAATTAAGGAAAGACTCCCATTTACCATTGCAACAAAAAGAATAAAATACCTAGGAATAAACCTATCTAAGGAGACAAAAAGCCTGTATGCAGAAAACTAGAAGACAATGATGAGAGAAATTAAAGATGATACAAACATGGAGAGATATACCATGTTCTCAGATTGGAAGAATCAACATTGTGAAAATGACTATACTACCCAAAGCAATTGCAGATTCAGTGCAATCCCTATCAAACTACCACTGGCATTTTTCACAGAACTAGAACAAAATATTTCACGATTTGTATGGAAACACAAAAGACCTCAAATAGCCAAAGCAATCTTGAGAAAGAAAAACGGAGCTGGAGGAATCAGGCTCCCTGACTTCAGACTATACTACAAAGCTATAGTAATCAAGACAGTATGGTACTGGCACAAAAACAGAAATATAGATCAATGGAACAGTATAGAAAGCCCAGAGATAAACCCACGCACATATGGTCACCTTATTTTTGATAAAGGGGGCAAGAATATACAATGGAGAAAAGAGCCTCTTCAATACATGGTGTTGGGAAAACTGGACAGCTACATGTAAAAGAATGAAATTAGACCACTCCCTAACACCATACACAAAAATAAACTCAAAATGGATTAAAGGCCTAAATATAAGGCCAGATACTATAAAACTCTTAGAGGAAAACATAGGCAGACACTCTATGACATAAATCACAGCAAGAGCCTTTTTGACCCATCTCCTAGAGAAATGGAAATAAAAATAAACAAATGGGATCTAATGAAACTTAAAAGCTTTTGTACAGCAAAGGAAAACATAAACAAGACAAAAAGACAACCTTCAGAATGGGAGAAAATATTTGCAAATGAAGCAACTGACAAAGAATTAATCTCCAAAATGTACAAGCATCTCATGCAGCTCAATATCAAAAAAACAAACAAACCAATCCAAAAATGGGCAGAAGACCTAAATAGACATTTCTCCAAAGATATACAGATTGCCAACAAACACATGGAAGGATGCTCAACATCACTAATCATTAGAGAAATGCAAATAAAAACTACAATGAGGTATCATCTCACACCAGTCAGAATGGCCATCATCAAAAAATCTACAAACGATAAATGCTGGAGAGGGTGTGGAGAAAAGGGAACCCTCTTGCACTGTTGGTGGGAATGTAAACTGATACAGCCACTATGGGGAACAGTACGGAGGTTCCTTAAAAAACTAAAAATAGAACTACCATATGACTCAGCAATCCCACTACTGGGCATATACCCTGAGAAAACCATAATTCAAAAAGAGTCATGTACCACAATGTTCATTGCAGCTTTATTTACAATAGCCAGGACATGGAAGCAACCTAAGTATCCATCCACAGATGAATAGATAAAGAAGATGTGGCACATATATCAGTGGAATATTACTCATCCATAAAAAGAAATGAAATTGAGTT